CTTGATTAAAAAGTTTAAATTTACCAAGTACCTGAACAAGTGTTTACCCATTATTTGGCTGGTCGGCTCATAATAAAGTAATTTCAGTTAAGCGTGATATAGGTATAAATTCATACACGTATAAATGGCTTAAAATGTAGGGTTGGGGAAACCATCCCTTATACCGTGATGCGAGTTTTTGCAGGTCTTAGAGGGTGACACGGTTCATTTTCCAGCCCCGAAAAATCAGATGAGCAAATATATTGTTCTCGACAGGGACACGCCATTCTTTGCAACGAGTGACGCCCCACTTATTTTAATTAACAATGGATCTATTGATCGCGTGGACACAGAAATAATGAATGTAAGATGGCGAATGTTTCCGCTTCATAGACAAATTCCGCGTGATGAACAAAGAAACATTGCGGCTTGCGCTCGATGCTTTGCTGAGTTAATATTATACGCTGAACAGTGATCTATAATGATGTATCTTAATTTAACGTAGGCTACATTAAGGTGTTAACAAACATGTATTCTGGTCATCCCTAACTAAGTGGCTTATGACGCATCAACGAATCCCACACGAATCTCAGTCACATTTTATGTAGGAAAGGGAATTAAGTTCAACAATTCTTGCTGTTTTTCTCTCTTAGCTTATTGTAAGTATGTCAAAGGAATTGATTATGTGGTTAACTTCGAGCGAAATCAATTTGATTCCATGAAATTCCGACTTTCGTCGAACGATTCCCACTATTTATAGTAAGTTGAAATATGACATCATAATTAGTAAATAGAAAAGTGGTGGAATTCGTCGACTTTTAACCCATTTTCTCTGTCTTTTATAACGAAACGAACGCGTATTTGAAGCCAAAGTATTAATGTATTCCTTGCGCACGCAACTGTGTGTTTAAAGTAAGACTTAATTACCGAGAACGAGGTTTCTTAGCGAGATACAACCCGAGGGGCGTGTCCCGAAGAAAGCATCCCGAGGGCCGTAAGCCCGAGGGATGCTTTCTGAGGGCAACGCTCCCGAGGGATGTATCTCGCTAAGAAACCGACGTTCGAGGTAATTAACTGACTTAGTTCAAATTTGTAAGGATTGAAAAACAATTAAATCTACTTTTTTGTCGAAAATACTTGCATTGAATTAAGAGAATAACGATTGTTACCATGGGGTCCATATGAAAATGAGATTGAAACGTGAACTACCTATGTAGCGACGAAAAAAATGCTTCCAGGCAACCGGAATCACATGAAAATGTAGGCTTATGGAAAGAGAATTTTTGCAAGCAAATGACGAACCATTGGGATTTGCAGTGCTCAAACTAGACAGAGATAAACGAAGAGTCTTGAAAAACGCGTATTGAGCGTATACCGAATATACTGTAGGCACAAGACACAACACCATCTTGGCAGTTCGATCGTATTTGGAAAGAGTGGGCCGAAGGTAGAAGCGCTATAACGAACAATATGTGTATGGGTTTGTCGAAGCAAAGATTCTAAATTTGTTTTCAATAGGGTTTTATTTGGGTAAGAATCTAAAAGCAAGTGCAGGGAATTTGACATCTCTATAGGGAAAAGGGGGGTTGATGAATAGAATTCAATTGAATTGATGATTAAATATTCACCAGGTTTTATCTAAGTATATAAAACCTGATTTTTGCGGGTTTTATATATATATAACCCGCAAAAATCCGGGTATTATATAGATAAAACCCGGTGTATATTTAATCGTCAATCCAATTCAATTCTATTTATCAACCCCGCTTTTCCCTGGGGAGATATCAAATCCCTCCCCTTGCTTTCAGATTCTTACCCAAATAAAACCCTATTGAGAACAATAGAAATCCGCACAAATTTGAACTAATTCCCAATAACGATCATATACATGTGAGAAAATATGGAAATTATTACGCGAACATGTGTGGGATTCGTTGATACGGAAATACGATGTACAATCGTTGTCATAGTAACTTTGTCAGTATTTTGTTCTGAAGCCGTCAGCCTGCAATACAGCGTGTATTCGCTTAGGCATGCTTGTGATAATATTATTTACATAATCTACAGAAACATTATATAAAGTTTTTATAACTCTAGTCTTAAATTGTTCCCATGTCTCACGCACAATCTGCGAGTCTCTAACTTGAGCATCAAGCTGCTTCTTAACTATGTGAAACATGTTTTCTATTGGATTTAAGTCTGGAGATCTCGCTGGGATACAAAATAACTCACATCCCTCTTCCTTTATAGCTGTCTTAGCTGCTAGGCTTCGCTGAGACGGGTCGTAGTCCATTATGAACCATTGTCTTCCACGCTTGCGCGATAGTAGTGCTGGAATTTTTTTTTTACAAACTCAGCGAAATAGGTACCGGTCATTTTCTCATATTCTTCTACCAATACAACCCCATTGTTGTGAGAAATTGCGACCATTAAGTGAAGCCGTTTTCCATCCGCAAGGGTTTTAGATCCTTTTGCCGTCAATTGTAAACCCTCGCTCTTTCTTCTCCATACACGCCCTCTAGGGGCTAAAGCGTCACTAAGAGGCTGTGTCTTATAAACAAAAGAAACCCCGTCTAAATAGAAGGCAATATTTCGCGAGAAGAATCCGGGCTTTGTGGAAAGGATCTTCTTGCATTGTTGCGCAAACGACTTTCTTTTCGTGCGATCACGGCTTGTTAAATCCCCCTTTTTACGCGCAGGTAGATAATCAAATCCAGCTGCTTTCACCTCACGATAAAATGTCCGTTACGGAATATCAAGTGACAGCTGTCCGCTGTGCGCAACCAAGCGCTTAACAGTAAAATTTGGGTCTTTATAACGCAGAGTTTTTATTGTTCTTATTAATTTTCTCCGATCTCTATCTGACAGCTTCTTTGGTCTACCAATTTTCTTGCATGTTTTCAAATCTTGCTTGGGCTGAACTTTTCCTCTCAGAATAAGAGAGACTGACGCTTTAGATATTCTTGCTTTTTTAGCAATCGCTCTGCAGGAATATCGTTTCTCTTTACCAAGAAATAGCACATACGCTCGCGTTGTATCTGAAATAGTTTTTTTATATGCCATTATTACTTTGTTTCTATATAACTAGCTCTTATTTATAGCATGTATACTGTGCACTTTATAATACTACAGCTTTGAGATTAATCCGGATGTTACCGATGACGTTACATTCTCCACAAAAGTAACGTAATAAGCACTTAAAGATAATTGCATTTGCTTCCGAACGTGTTTACCTGCCCTAAATTCCAGATTGCTCTACTAGATTCGCTTGTAGTTCCAAACTACGAAATTCCCAATGTTGGACTGGTTCTGGAAACGTGCATGAACGCATTATGATTAAACTAGAATAATAACATACAATGTATGCGCAAATTAACCATGTTTACGCTCCCCAAAACACGGTATCTATTATATTTGTAAACACCATTGGTAATACTATAAAATACAAGTAATTCTAGCTTCAATAACTGAAATTTTAATTTGGCTTAAAATACCGTTTCGGACAATCAGTGACGAAACACTTTGGACGAAATAGCTAAACAGCGTACGTTTACAACATAATCGACCCCCCGCACCCCCCGTTCAATGTTTTGTGTGGAAATACCTGCGCAAAGTGTTCCTTGCCAGCTACGCAACATTGTTTAGGGTGGGGGAGGGAGAGATAGTGGCTTTATGCTGAACAGTATTTGGAAATGCGGAGATATGTATATATTATACCACTGTTCAAAAACCTTTTGTCACTGATTGTATATAGCATGATTCGTCGCGAACGCTGCATGACGAAATCTGGTGATTATATAATATGCGAATTTTTCTCCAACCCGAATTGTCTTACAGTCAAAATATATATATTCTTGTATCTAAATTAACGTGGATTTAGTACAAGCCATAGTGAATGATAAATTTTCCTTCTATTAAGTTACAACTTATTATTAATTTTTATAGGGTTGCAGGAAGCAAAAGAAACCCAGAATGAAATTCTAGATTCCGAGCAAGAATATGGATGTGATTTCTCAAACTGAAAATATTGAACGACGAAACGGAGAAAAGATAGTAGGAATACAAGACCTATCATTAATTAAAAACAGAGATGACACACAACAAATGATAGAGGAAATAGACGAATCAGTGGAACTAAATTCCGAGAGAAGAAGGAATTTAGAAGATAAAATAAGAATGCTTGAAGAGAATGAAGCTGATCATCAAAGGCGAGTAGCTCGACTGGAGGGAGAGATTTTTGGGCAGGATGGGCAGATTAAAAAATTAACGAGAGATGTCCAAGGATTCCAAACCCAACTAGTAGAAACGCAAAATAACCTCGAGGAAACACGAAACGAACTGAGAAGAACGCGAAATAATCTCGTGGTTACACAAAACAAACTTACAGAAACGCAAAATGTGTTAACAGAAATACGAAATGATCACGAAGAAACTAAAAACAAATTAAAGGCAATAGAAAGTGCTCTTCATACAGGCCAGATTGCCTTCGACTTCGAGAAGGACCTTGCCACATACATCTACCCACATGATAAGAAATTCGGATCCCGCAAAATATTTACAAACATGAAGGAATGGCTGGAAAAGAAAAAGAATACGGAAGAAGGAAGTGAAGCAAACACAAAGTGGAATGAATTGCAGAAAGAGTTCTCGTGGTCAAGTGAACACGAAAGAGTATTTTTTAAACTGCTCGAGTCTAGAAAAGAGTGTGCGCATCCACAAGTTGATCGGAATGGGGTTCAATCGGAAATTCCTGACAGCTTCACTGACCAGGAAAAGAAATGCATTACAGATATCATGGATATCATTGATCGAGTGAACGAACTAATGTAGTTACAAAGTCTTTCAAAGTTAATATTTATTCGTGTAATTTAATTAAATATTACGACACATGCTAAATTAACATAGTATATAATTGTATGATAATACCTTGTAACTATTTTAAATAATAATTCTTTATGATGATGCATGTTGACTTCGTCAGATCCGTATAATTATGTTATCAATGAAGGACCTGCAAAGCATACATTGCTGTAATAACAATATTTAAATAAATTAATACTGTAATATTATATTAATATTGGATAATGTATAAATCAACAGTGCAAAAATCTGTAAGGGATCAGCTTGCACGAATTTATTTTATTTTGTTTTCCTTTGCGCGGAATTTCTCCCCCTCCCTCATCATCAACCTCGTACGCAGGGTCTTTCCTCTTGGGGAGGAAAGACCCTGATAGATGCTGGTCACTTTATGTGCTAATATCTAGCAGGTTTGTAATTAACTATCTTGGATTCTTTTACGAGAATCATACAAAATGCAAATTTATTTATAAATTAAACTATAAAAAATCATCCAATATTTATTGGATTGCTCATTACAAATCTGCTAGATTTTAGCAGATCACGTGACCAGCGTCTACCAGGGTCTTTTTCTCCCCTCGCCAAGAGGAAAGACCCTGCGTACGAAGTTGCCTCATCATCACTTTTAGTTATTGACACAGATAATTTTCATTTAAGATTAATTATTCGAAGGGAATCATCAACATGTAGTAGTCCGCCCATGCAAGAATCTGTAAAAAACCAACCTGATTGGTGGATAAACAGTGCGATCTAAATCAACCAATCAGCTTGAAGCAATCCAGAAGTGACGGCCACAAATTGGTTCAAAAATAGCAGCCGTGCTGCATAAGGTAAAAGTTTGGGTAGAAAATAAAGCTTCTATCTTTTTCTTAAAATGGAAAATACTTTACCTTATAGACAAGGGTAACAAAACTTGCATGGTTGAGAGAAATTCTAAACCGTTAGCGCTGTAAAATGTGTTATAACAAAGCAGGAAAACCTTGTCAGTGGACGGTTCGCTGTAATACGTAAGTTAAAACTACAATTTTCCCCAACATTTTTATGCATATTATTAACACGTAGTAGGATGGTGAAAGCTTTGCAGTAATAAATTTACGCGGTGTTTCCACAAACAAAACTATTATATGTTTTATCGCCATGCAAAAATACAAAGAACTTATTAATAGGATGATTTAATGATTTAATAAGATTCGGCTACTATTTAAATACAACATATAGAGCCAGGGAATTCGCCACAGGTTTCCCTAATTACGGCGATCCCATATAAACAAGAATTAAATTACTGTACAAAACAAACACAACAACAACAAATTTTCAAGCAACTTAAGTGGCTGTCTCACTAAGAACCATGCAGAGCGTTTCAGGCTGAAAATTAGATTTCCTTTATATTTTTACCATGAACTACCTTTGTCCTAAAAGGTATTAAACCAATATTAGAATTTCTAAATTTTTCTTTTTTTTTGAGTTATGACGAATTTTTGTCTGGACGACAAAGACACTGAAATTTGACCCCGAGAATGGCGGTCAAATATGTGTTAAATTGTGCATCATAACTCGGGAAGTTTCGCGTCAAATTAAAAACTTTTTTCAGCGTATTGAGACATATTCTTCTTCTTTTAGAATATTGAGAGAATTTGAATGTACATCTTATTTTAAGCCTACTTGTCTCCACCCAAGGAAGTCGGTATTTTCGTTCGCCGAACAACTAATGATTAGGTACAAAATTCAAACTAAAAATTCTCAAAAGTGCAACCTACCTGGTGTCTAAAACACTTTTAGGGTTAAAGTAGCATACTTAAAGTTATGTTATTCGCAATAAAACTTGTCAGCAAAAGGAATATGAAGGAGTGCAAAATTCATAAATTATGGCTATAAATAGCACTATTGTTTACCTTTGTGATAACCGGAAACACGTTCAAGGTTGCTCGCGGAGTTTTTATAGCGACTAATATATTGCACAATCATTGTATTTAACTCAGAAAAGTTTAATTCGATCGATGAAATGTGACGGATCTTTGAGGTCCAAAACGGTCAGAAGAAGTAAATTCGTCTAGGACGTTGTATCCCTCATGACCGGACAGGTACAGGGCCGTAGGAAGCTCCTTTCGATTGGG